AACTCCCTCCCTGGGTTTGATTGATTTGCTAGCGTGGGTCACACAACTCAGCGGAACAGACCGCTCGCTGGATTACTAGTCTATTATAAAAGGATCGAACTCAGGAATGGCCAGATGGAGGAGATGCAGAGGGGAAGCCACGGGGAACGGGTGCGGAGGTTCTGTGCTTTCTTGGGGTGCACCGCTCTCCCAGAATCCCCACGTGTTTGGCAGCCCGGAAGCTCGCTGAGCCCTGATCTGCGATCGATCTACGGAGGCCTCATTACAGAGGCACCGCCGATTGAATCATTGGCTATGGTCAGTGCATTCGGATTCCGGCCCCTCCCCCACTCCAAGACTGAAAGTTACGACCCTCTAATGAAAGGGCTGGCTCTCCTGGCAGCCAGCCCCCACCCTTGGGTGCTTTCCGAGTCACCTCATTAAGGTAACAAAGGACTCTTTCAGGGCTCTCATCACTTAGGAAACTCCCAAGGGTTTTAGGAGCTCTGTGCCAGAAACCAGAAAGGGGACAAAGATCAAATACACGTATCTTGCGAGTCACGGGTATATGGGAGGAGGGCCAGTGGAGGGAGAAGATGGTGGGCTGTGTTGGGGGCAGGGCTGGGTCCATCCCAGGCGCCACAACCTAGTCCAGGATCTTCCCGCCCGCCCGTAATCGTTTCCCAGATTTCCACCCAGCGCAAAGTCAACATTTACAACATCCTCCAGGAGATCATCCAGCAGGAGGGGGAGCTAGAGGATCAGGGCGTCCAGAGGCTGGTCGCCATCGCCTCCAAGGAGATGAGGGAGAGCCTGGAGGTAGTGAAGCCCTGGGTCCATCGGCGCCCTGCCCCCCTCCCCTGCCAGCCCAGGGGCTGAGATGTGGGTGACCTGGGGTGGATGCAGGATTTAGTTCTGCACTGAGAACATCATGTGCAAAGGCCCTGAGGCAGGGAGAGGCTTGGCTTCTCTGGTCCAGTGACCGGTGAGGAGGGGGGCAAGAAGAGGCGGAGCCTGAGCTGGAGCAGGTGTGGGGCAGGAGGGTTTTCATGGCAGCCCAGCGGGTGGTGGAGACACACGTCCCTCCCCCGTCCCCTGCAGGTGGAGGGCTACGTGAAGGCAGAGGTGGCCAGCGACACCCTGGTGGCTTTGTCCCGCAACCACTTCAACTTGGTCATGTATGAGCTGCAGCACCACCTCAAGCCTCTCAACCTCACGGACGAATTCGTCATCGTCACCTTGGCGAAACTGGCCAATGGCAACGGTAGGCGCACGCGGGTCCTCGGCCTGGGGCGGTGGTAGGGGGGCGGGTCTGGCCCCGCAGGCCGACCTGGCGCTCCCTCCCGGTCACTGCCTCTCTCTTCTCTGACCAGCCCCATTTCTCTCTTTTCTAGTTTTTAAATTTTTATTAAGTTTTTCTTTTGAGTCCAGCGTAATATCAGTTTCAGGAGGGTCATCCAGTCACCTGACGATTCCATACATCGCCCAGTGCTCATCCCGACACAAGCTCTCCTTCATCCCTGTCTCCCGCTTCAACCATCCCCCCTCTTACCTTACCTTCCTCTGGCATTCCTTCTTTCCGTCTCCGCGTCTCCCTCAGCTGTCAAGATTCCGTGTTCCTGCCTCTCATTTCTGTCTCTTCATTCCTCTGCCGTTCTTTCTCCAGACCGCTCTCCCTCTCGGGCCCCGTTCTCTTGTGTTCTCATCTCTTTTCCTTCTTACCCCTCCCCTCCCCCCTCCCCCATTCCACAAGCAGGTGCTGAGCTCCCGCTGCACAGTGGCAGTGAGTACAATGCGCTCGGTCCCGCCTCCATAAAGGACGGTAAACAAGTAAACAAGAAAATCGGCCATCATCATATGAGATGACATGTGGTGTGACGAGAACAGCCTGGTGGCTGTTTGAGATCAGGAGGGAGGGGACCTCACCTCTGTGAGGGCCCTCACTGGGGTAGCGACATTTCAGTTGTGACCCGAAAGGACGAGACGATGGTGAAGAACCAGATGCGGGAGGGCGTTCTGCACGGAGAACGTCATGTGCAAAGGCCCTGAGGCAGGGAAAGGCTCGGCTTCTCTGAAGGACTGAGAGGTCACTGTGGCTGTCGTTAGGGTGAGGGCAGATGGTGGAAAGTGGGGTTGGAGAGGCTGGCAGGGCCTGGTGGGTGTGGTAGAGTCTGGACCTTACTTGAGAGCCCCGGAAAGCTGCAGGGTTGCCTTGTGACACACAGGTTCCAGGAAGAACATTCTAGCTGTTGTGTGGGTGGAGAAGGGATGAGAGGTGTGTACGTGAGAGGCGATGGTGGCTCAGGCTGGGGCCAGGCTGGTGAGGGGTGCGCAGACGGGAGAGATGAATGAGGTTCTGACTGATGGGACTTGCTGATGAGTTCTGTGCTGGAGGTGAAGGAAAAAAAAGAGAAGCCAAGGAAGACTCCCAGCTTCAGGCGTGAGCAGCTGGCTGCCGGGCAGGTGCACTGAGTTCACATTCCTGTGGGACTTTCGGGGGGCGGGGTCAGGTGGCCAGCTGATGGGTGGATGCGGAGTCGAGTCCGAGGGCAGGTGTGGGGGGCCTTCCTCCCAGGGTCTTTGGCGTGTGGGTGGTGCTCAAAGCCGTCCACGCCCACAGATGCAGACAGAGGAGAGGAGGCGGGCAGAACCCAGCTCGGAGAAACCCAACGTCAGGAAGAGAGTTGGCAGGGAGACGGGGACAGGGTGGCGGTGGTGTGGAAGCTGCGAGAAGGGCGGTGGCTCAGGAAGGGCCCGGGGGCCAGCGTGTCCCATTTTGCAGGGGCTCTGGTCAGATGGGGCCGGGTGGGTGGAGAGAGTGGGGCGGGGGGCAGGGGACTAGCTGCTCTGAGACGGCCGCTGGAGGGGCCAGGCTGGGAGGGGAGGGTGGCTCTGTCACCTGTTCCCTTTCCCCCAACAACGCCTCTTCTCTGCTCCCAGCATCCCTTGGTTTCCTTCCTTTCTTTGCCCGCCTGTTGCCTTCTTCTGGTCTGTTTCTTGCTGCCTGTCTCCCTGTGACTTTGTTCACCCAAGGACCTTGGTGGGACACGTAAAGAGCCAGGCATCTATCCAGGAGCCATGCTCAGTCTCCCCTCCCTGACTTTCTGCTCTGCCCACTCCTCCCTATGGTTCTATCTCCCCCTCCTCCTCTTCCTCCTCCTCCTCCTTCTGTCTCCCTGTCCCCGGTCTCCTTCCTTTCCTGCTTCCTCCCCCTTCGCTTGTTTCCGGTCTGTTCCTTTCACCTCCCACTGACTTCCACACTTTATCCTGTGGCCTCAGCCACACGCTGGGCCCCGTGGGGGCGGGAGGTGGCAGGAAGCGGGCTTGTCCTCTGCCCTGTCCCTGCTGACCCGCCCCCAACTCCCTGCCACCTCTCGTCCCGCTGCACAGTGTTTGAATTCATGCCATACATGGGCATCACCCTGGCCACCATATTCACGATGCTGAGACTCACCAATGAAGCCAAGATGTGCCAGGTGATCTGCAGTGGTACGTGCCTGGTGGGGCCCGCCGGTGAGGCCCGGCCAGGGGGCTGGACGAGGGCCCGGGGCAAGCAGGTGGAGGGGTTTGCTGAACAGGAGGTAGGTTGTTCACTTATTCCCGAGCATTTGTCCAACCTCCTGCTTCGTGTGGCCCCGATCGGCTCTCGGGGGGGCACAGGCGGTGGAACTGTGGCCGGTGCTTTCAAGGGAACACGGCTTAGCGGGAGGAAGTTGTCTCTGTGACTCGGTTTACCTGGCTCTGTTTCAAGTGTTTCAGGAGGACAGCGGGATTTCACAGGAGAGGGAACCAGGGAACATGGCTCTATGTTGGGCCCGACCAGGGCTGGTCTCTGATGCTCTTTATGGTCTGATCTCCTTGCCCCAGGTTTTGATTTCTTAAGTGTTTCGGGGGGTCCCAAATCCCTGATACCTGAGAAGAATAAGACAAAATGTGCTCACTGCCCTCTGTGGGACAATCCTCGGGCTGTGAGTAAGGAGTCATATCCTACCCTTGACCCCTGTATGTGAATCTCAAGGACTGGGGTCTGGACACACCCGTAGGCTTAACAGCCTCCCTCCCACACCGGGTAGAAAGCTGATAAAAATTGGAAAGCAGAGATCACGGGCTGAAGAGGGGCATTTTCTAGGCTGTCTGAGGCCATCTCTCTCACCTGCTGGTTATAGAAGTGTGCCAATGCTTCTGGAGGGAGGTGGCCCGGGGAGACCTCGTCCGGCTGCTGCCCCTCGGGGCTCACCGCCCCCACCCTCCTCCGTAGCCATGGAGACCTTCTGTGAGACGGTCCAGTTTTACCTGCGGCATCTGGAGGACAGTGTGTATCCTGTGATGACGGAAGATCAGTTTGCCATGAAGCTGTTCCCGATGTATCGCTATTTCGTGACCGTGTGGCTAAGGAACCACAACCCTGAGGTGAGAAGCACCCTTCTCAAGGGGGTCCTGTGGTCCCCCCCAGGTCATGGCTCCCCAGCCTGTGTGGCTAAGGAGGGCTGAGAGACCACTGGGTCCAGCCTCGTTCTCAGAACCGGGAGAGACGGTGACCTGATCAATGGAGGAGCTGACCTGCACGGGCCCTGGGGCCCCGGGGGGCCTGGCTTGAGAAAGACCCCAGGAGTTGCCGGAGGAGGGTCCCTGTTAACGGTGCGTTTTACCTAGAGGAGCTGTGCCATAGGACCGTTTTACAAATGAGGAAACTCAGGCGCTCAGACAGGTTCTCCCAAGTGACAGAGCTGGGACTTGCAGGGACAGTCCGGCCTCGTCGCCTGCCTGTGGGGTCTCGGGCGGGGCCCCGCCTACTCCCAAGGCCCTCTCTGTCACGTGCCCTGGACTCTCTGGATGGGGTGACCTCACTGGGCCTCGCTGGGGCTCCCGGGCTCCTGTGGTAGGTGAAGCTGGGGGTCATCAAGTCCCTGAAGCCCATGCTGACCCTCCTCCTGCCCAACGACGACCTTCGGAATCAGTTGTACGACTACATCCCCCTGCTGCTGGCGGAATACCGGGGCGGCCTGGAGGCCCTGTTCATCACGCAGGTGAGAGGCTGCAGGCTTGGCTCCTCTGGGTCCCACGTCGGGAGGGGGAGTGTCACCTGAGTAGAAGCTGGGGCTCCGCACTCACTGGATTTTTGAGACTGCTGTTCCAGGTGGAAGGGACGAGATCCCAAAGGGTCTTGGAGGCTGCGGTGAGGTTGCGTGTTAGTTTCCTGGGGCTGCCGTAAGAGAACCACAGGGTGGGCGGCTCCAAGTAACAGAAATGTAGCCTCACGGTTCCAGGGGCGCTCCTTCTGAAGGCCCTGGAGAGGAATCCTTTGGTTGCCTCTTCCAGCTGCCGGTGGCCCCACGCGTTGCTTGGCTGGTGGCTGCAGCCTTCTGTCGTCCCCCTCTCTTCACGTGGTCTCTTCTCCGTGTCCTCCCCTCTTCTTGTAAGGACGCTAGTTGTTGGACTTCAGACCCTTCTTAAATCCAGGATGGTTCATTTCATCTGAGGCCCTTACCTCATGACATCTGGAAAGCCTCATTTTCTTTTTTCTTTTAATTTTGTTAATGTTTATTTTTGGGAGACAGAGACAGAGCACGAGCGGGGGACAGACAGAGAGAGAGAGGGGGAGACACAGAATCTGAAGCGGGCTCCGGGCTCCCAGCTGTCGGCACAGAGCCCGACGCGGGGCTCGAACTCACAAACCGTGATATCATGACCTGAGCCGAAGTTGGACCCTTGACCGCCTGAGCCACCCAGCTGCCGCTGGAAAGCCTCATTTTCAAATAAAGTCACATTCTGAGGCTCCGGGTGCACATGAATTTTCGGGAGACCCTTTAACCCACGATAGCCCATAACCTGTGTGGGATGGAGCCTTGGCAGGGTTCTGAGTGAAGGCGTGACCTGGGCTGTGTCACTCACCTACAGCAGAGGCGTGGGCCTCAGCTACAAAAGCAAAGAGCAGAAATTAATACGATAGATTTAGGGGGCCGTCCTTCGATCACTCTGGCTGAAGAATGAGATTCGCTGCCAAGTGGATAGGGGAGAAAGGGGAAGAGGGCCTTGAATGCCATGCTCAGTGGCTTAGCACAGCACTTTCCAAGCATCACTGTGCCTGGGAATAGCTTGGGGGCTTGTTGACAATGCAGGATCGGATTCATCAGGTCTGGAGAAGAGCCTGAGAGACTGCATTTCTTTCTTTTTCTTTCTTTTTTCTTTTTATGAAATTTATTGTCGAATTGGTTTCCATACAACACCCAGTGCTCATCCCAACAGGTGCCCTCCTCAATCCCCATCACCCGCCCCCCATCAACCCTCAGTTTGTTCTCAGTATTTAAGAGTCTCTTATGGTTTGCCTCCTTCCCCCTCTGTAACTTTTTTTTGCCCTTCCCCTCCCCCATGATCTTCTGTTAAGTTTCTCAGGATCCACATAAGAGTGAAAACATAAGGTATCTGTCTTTCTCTGTATGGCTTATTTCACTTAGCATCACACTCTCCAGTTCCATCCATGTTGCTACAAAGGGCCATATTTCATTCTTTCTCAGTGCCACGTAGTATTCCACTGTGTATATAAACCACAATTTCTTTATCCATTCATCAGTTGATGGACTTTTAGGCTCTTTCCATAATTTGGCTATTGTTGAAAGTGCTGCTATAGACATTGGGGTACAGGTGCCCCTGTGCATCAGCACTCCTGTATCCCTTGGGGAAATTCCTAGCAGTGCTACTGCTGGATCATGGGGTGGGTCTATGTTTAATTTTTTGAGGAGCCTCCACACTGCTTTCCAGAGCGGCTGCACCAGTTTGCATTCCCACCAATGGTACAAGAGGGTCCCCGTTTCTCCACATCCTCTGCGTTTCCCGCCAGCTCCCGGGGGGGATGCTGATACCTCCGGCTGATGGGCCCCTCTGAGCCACAAGAGTCCGGAGTTCACTGACCCTGAATCATCGGCCCGTTCATTGCAGGTCTTGAGGCAGATCCTGGAAACGTCCGTCACCACCAACACCCCCGTCCCCCAAATGCAACTACACACCATTTTCACGGAACTGCACGTCCAGGTGAGGCCGCGAGCTTGGCGGGGCACCAGCATTCTCGGGCTGCTGCCGTGGGGAGTGGGCGGTGGCAGGTGGCGTGGCTGTGGAGCCCCCGTCTCGTTCATCTGGCTCCCGTATCCCACGGGGGCTGGGAGGCGTTGGTTGCCCACGCAGCTCTGCCACGGCCGGGCCGCCCCCGTGCTTGCATCCCGTCTCTGCTTGTCGTCTCACCACCCTCCCTGCACGCCCCCTCCCCAGGTGTGTGCCAAGGCTCCTGCCCAGCAGCAGTACAGCAGCCAAAACCTGGCGGAGATCGTACACTGCTTCATAGCCCTCGGTGAGGCTCCCCCAGGTCCCCTGTGAGCCTGGCGGGGGGGGGG